TCGCAGCAAGAGCTTGGTTGCTTTATTAAAATATTTTTCACATATTCCTCTTACATTTTCAGATCTGCCAGTTCCTCCCTATGAGAGAACAAGGCAACGGCGCCTTCAGGTCAGACTCAGAACGAGCAGCGAGGTGCTTCGGAAAGAGGTCAGACTAGGAGCCAACACCCAAATCTCATTATAATCAGATCCTAGGCAATTAAAAATTACTTTCCCTCCTAGGTGACCTTGTGGGATACATACTCCAGACTTTAGTCTAAATAAAACTAAGTTGAAAGTCTAAATCTAACAACTGTTAAAAAAAAAAAAAAAAGCCTAGCCCAGTCGACCATAATGATGGGCTAACACAATTAGTGGCTTTGGGGGAAGGCTAATCAAGAGGTAAGTGACTTTCCCTGTACCCACCATGCTGCCCTCCGAGTTGGGTGTGGAGGGACAAGTGGCCACCTTTAGGTAAACAGGGATCCAACCATCACCTAGAGAGCACAGTTCACTTCTATCAAACCTCTACTCTTCAATTGCTGGTAATGACGCTGGAAATTATAGCTCTTAGCCAATTCTCAGGGCAGGGTTCATGCTGTACTTTAAAAGATTCTTTCTCTGCAATGTAATTTTCATTTTTCAAGGTACTGAGTTCTATAGCTATTCCTTCAGTTACTTTTCTGATTCTTCTGTAGGGATTATAAACCTCTCTTTCCCCAGCCCAATTAAATTGCAAACGTTGGACACAGGCATCACTTCTCACTAAAACAGGTATCTGATTTTGTTTTAAGAGAAAGGATTACATATGTATTAGTATGAACCCCCTATTGTTTGTTTCTTTTAAACCAGTATCTAAATAAAGCAGAAGGTAGATCCGGGCTTGGGCACCGAAGGCAATCTTCACAGTTGAGTGTGTGGTTTTGATAACCACAAAGAACTACCACATTGAAGTGCAACCATGGAACATAGGAAGCCCAGTGCTCAAGGTCTGAGAGCTAATGCTAATTAGCAAAAGCAATATTTTTTTGGAAGTTTCTGACTGGCTTAAAGTGGCTTTGTTGGGGGGATTTCACTTTTTTTTTAATATTCTGGTTAGATATAGAGAGGAAGATATTATTAAGAGAAATGAGTCGTGCATCTAGAGAAGAGAATGTTCAACTTTTAACTTAAAAGACTTCTTTCTCTTTGCATAAATTAATAGAATTTGGAATGACATGCAGGCACTTTCTTAAAACAAACAGATAAAAAAGCAAGGAAAACCAAAAAACTATCAAATTCCATAGTAGTTCACTGCAGGAGAGAGCAATAACCATCCTTTATAGAAATCCTTTCTTCAATATCCTGAGAAGCAGAGCAAATAAACAGATGTAATTCCCCCTGATTTATTAAATCATTTGTTCTACATGTAATTGAGGGAACCAAACACACATTGCATTGAACCAGGCACAATAAGTAGCACAAAGGAAATTTGCAGTGCAATTGAAGAAATAAGATACACATGAAAAATTAAAAAGAAAACAAGATTAAGTGTGAAATGAACTGCAGCAGGGTTCAGAGCAAGACAAGATTAAATCAAGATGGAGTGGTAAGGGCTGAGCTTTGAGTGGGATTATGGTAAGTCGGATGCTGCGCAAGAAGCAAAGGTCAAGCATAAGCAGGACACATGACATCAAGACTCAGAGAGGCGGACATGCACATTGTGTTGTCGAGAAAGCCTCTCGCCCCTAGCCTTCAGTGTGGGCTCTCACCGGGGAGTGAAAGGTGAGCTACTGATCCAGCAAATGAGTGTGAATGGGGGAGTCCTCAGTTGGTGTCAGTGGCGTGTCACCATGGAGAAGAGAGATTGTTAGAAAGGAGTCAATTAGGAAGTAATATAAGTGGTCAGGGCCCAGGGACAAGGTTGGTGAGGAAAGGGGAGAAATCCTGCTATTAGCACTATGAAAGGCACTCATGAACTGATTAGATGTGAATGATTGGAAAAGTTAGAAACCTAGAAGACAGTAACATTACAGTGTTTCCCTCATGGCCTTAGTCTGTGATATATATTCCAAAATTTATAGAATAAACTCATTGAATAGTTCTTCTTCTACTTTGGTTAATTTAGATAGTTTCACTGTGTAGCTCAGGCTGCCTTGATCCTTTCTGGCAGCTGAGGTTGGGTAGAGTAACATTTCCTGCAGTGTGTTCTGGGGAATCTTAATATCTAAAGGTGCTTTTAGAACAATGACTTCACAGCTAAGCATAGCTAAGCAGTTTGCAAACATCAAACACCGTTTCACCTGGAAATCACACAACTCACTGGCTCTCCTTTTAGAAGGAACACTGATAAATCTCTCAGAACCAAATGCCCACTAAGAAAAGACTAACAGGCATACTGTTAAGCTCCTAAGTATATCATGATCTATGGCTCTGAAATATGGAAAATGATTTAAATCACAACAAAATATAAGGCAACAGAAGTAGATAAAAAGGGTTAAAGATAACAAGCTAATGTGAAGTATGTTCAAGTCAAATGAGATTGCAAGGAGACGTGGAAGCTTGCTGAGAGGAAAGCATTTCACAGAGGTACAGAGGGCGCCACACCCTCAGCCCAGTACAGGGCTTCCCAAGACAGGAATGACCGTCCGAGGAACCCTCTCTCCTTTAGTAGCACATCCATCTGAGCTTGCTGCAAAAAAGGATGGCTGCATTCACATGGCTGAGCCTTCCATTTTTAGATGAACAATGTGTGTCTGCAGTATCTTTAGTAATTAAAACTCTAGAAGAATAAAGCAAGATCACAGGAACCTTCCTTGACTCACCGACTGTCTCTTGCAGATGCAAGAGTCAGAAATCAGAATTCCTTCTGTGAGGGCCAGAACAAATGCACCCCTGAGCTTATGGCAAGTACCAACAGCCTTAGAAAAATATTTACTCAGTGAGGAAGTGCACGGATGCAAGTGTAATGACCTTGGGAGGAATTATTCTTAAACAAGAGGGAGATTGCAACCCATCTCAGAGCTGTATTTTCCAAATCATTTTCACATTTGTTGATTGATTTGGTCTTCTGTGGAAAGTGGGCATTTCCTACTATTCTACAGATGAGAACATCACCATTGTCACCACAGCCATCATCACTGCCTGGGTCTGGACGAAGGTCTCTCTGATTCTAGACACTAGACCATCGGTGGCTTCTCAGAACGAGCCAGAAGGTGAACTGTGAGCACCACTTCCACATTTGTACATCCGCTGATCCCACTGACCTAGCGTAGTGTCTTTCTTGGATGCCAGGTTGCTTCAGGCTGCCTAAACCTTAGGTAAGGTGTCAGCAATGTGTTGAGAGGAGCACATTCCCGGGCATTCGCCTGGGTGGTAGCTATGCCAGCTCTCCTACCTCCACAGTAGAGCGGAGGAGTTGGAAGAGATGCTGTATGACCCGCAAGTCAGACTTCTGGACCAAACCTGCCAGGAGCTTCTATTTCCTCAGAACAAAAGAAAGGAGTCTAAAGACACTCATGTACCCATGCAGGAGGTATACAGATTGATTCTAGTTTGTTTCTCAGTTCTACTCTCCAGGAACTGGAGTGACGTCTCTGCCCAGCTTATTCAAGTTGTCCATGATTTGTCCAATTTTAAAAACAGAGCAATGATACTAAACTTGGAGTTTTATTGTGAAGCAATATGGGCAAGGGCATAAAGCAAACAGTAGGAGCCAACTGGTGAGAGGAACCTCCCTGTCTGTTAGTGGTGCACCTGCGTGCTTCTGGCATTTCTGCTGGCCTGCGGTGACCACAGCGCATTAGCCATCTTTGGTAGTAGCCAGCAGACACGTGAAATAAAATGAAAGCGCTACAAGGTGGATGAGGGATAGGATGGAGATGCACATGGTAGAATGTTGGGGCTGCTGGCTTCCAGGCGAGTCTGAGCGAAAAGCAAGTGTCTTCACAGGCACAGGGTAGGCAGCTGCAGTCGGGAAGCCAGCTACTTCATTTACCTTCAACTGCGGTCATCACTGAAGTCATTACCCCAACCTGGAAGACTATGAGGGGATCAGAAAAACCTAGCTGCAGGCCACTTCCATCTCTCTTCTATCTCGGGCCCACCAAACCCTGATTCAGTCCTAAGTAAGAAAAATAAAGCTATTGCTCTTTCATACAAACAAACATGCTGGGGTCCCAGTTCGCTTGACATTTTATCTGCCCTTCAGTGATTAACACACAAAAAACAATCCACAAATAATCTCTCTCCTTTATCTAGCAGCTGATGTAGCTTTGCTTTTCCTCAGAAGAGCTTGCCAAGGCAGGCACTGGGGTGCTCTGCCTCAACGCCCTGTGAGACCTGCACTGCTCTCTGTCACCCATCAGATCCCTATTTTATGAAACAAAACAAGGTAGAGCAAGATGCTGGCTTAGTTCTTGCCTAACTAGAAGAGAGTGCTTACTTGCTGCTGAAAAAATTTAATAAAAATACAAGGCTGTAGAAAAGACCACCTTACCCTCCCCTCCCTCTCTGTTTCCTTCCCTTTCCTCTTCCTTTCTTCACAGTGTTTCCCCTTGGTTTTCCCCAGGAAGCAAAATCTCAACTCAAGAACTAATTGCTTCCATCTGCAAAGACGGAGCCCGTGCCATTCTCGGCTCCGGAGTCCTCAAGAGACACACCCACGTGTTCCACTTGCAGCAGCCCATCCTCCTGCTTCCAGGTGGAGGTCACCTAGCCTGAGGTGACCACTGAAGACCTTCCACCTGAGGTCCACTTTGCTTTCAACTTTACTTCCCTGGCTCCACTGAAGACAGTACAGAACCCGGAGCAGAAGCGTCCGGAGACTCGCACCCCTTCGCTTTACCCTGGATGCAGGTTTCCCCACTGCCTTGGCCTTGACCCAGCTTGCACCCCAGCCTTGCTCCTCAGTGCCCCAGGGAGCGGCAGGGAGACGTGTGGCTTTGTCACAGTTTGCCCCAACAGATATTGGCCTCACGTGAAAATAACACAAGTGCTCAGTCCACAATCGCAACCACACAGCTGTCCGCGCTGATACTCACAGCTCCACTGCGTTCCGGGGGAGGTCGGCAGGGATCTCTGTCACCTTGCTGTCCTGGCAGAGGAAGACCCGATTGGAGCAGTGGCAGAGGCGGTGGTGACACGCCGAGCCCCAGCTCAGCAGTGCCAGCAGAGACAGCGGGAGCAAGGCCATGCCGCTTATCCATCCACCTGCTTTTCTCTTGCACTGGCCGCGAAAGTGTCTGAGTGCCAAGGCTCGGCAGAGCTGCAAGGAGAAGAGGCTGTTTGGGGAGTTGGCAAGGTCACGTGACCACCGAGGAGGCCTTGGTTCTTGTGTTTTTTGTCATCTGCAGACCAACAAAGTTCCTGGGTGCCAGCATTAATTTTGGAGGCAACATAAGCTATTCCTTTATCCTACAAAGCTGGATTTCTTACATCCTGACTCTAGGACTGCAGACAGCAGCTTGACGCGTGTCCGGAGCAGTTTGCATTCTCTCTGCTCACCAGGGGCTCAGTGATCCTCACTCTGCTCTCAACAGGGTGACTGGAGTGAGTTGCCCCCAGAGAGGCACAGGCATCTTGGCCTGCATCACTGAGCAGGGTCCCAAGGACAGAAGATTGGGAACGCTCTCAGCCCTCGGGAGCAACTTCTTCCCCTTGCCTGTGTGACGTAAACCAGACTGTCAGGATTATACTTGATGATCCTCTTTCTCACCATAATTAAGCAAAAATAAAATTATTCAGACACAGCAGGTGGGCTGGCAAGCCCAGGATGCCACTGATGAGCCTGTCACAGAGGTGGTTGACCTATCAGTCATCGAAGAAAGAGCTGCATTTCTGGTGGGCACTTGATAAAGGGCATGTCCCCTCCATGCTGACCCTGGCTTCCCTCATTTCTAGGTGAAGACTGTCTTTCTTTTTTGGCAGCTGGCACACATAAATTTATTACATCTACGCTTTAAATTTACTTTTTTATGTATTTAATACAAGGGTCTGCAGGGCCTCGCTACACAGATTGGACTCATAGTGACCCTCCTGTTTTCAGCCTCCCAAGCACTGGGATTATAGGCATGCACCACTACGCCAGTCTCAATCACTGTCTCAGCATGCCGTAGGGGTGGGACCAGCACAGCACCCTGGGGCTCAAATCCCAGTCCCTGAGTCTGCATAAGCAGGTGTGGTAGTCCGCTGAGCTGTCAAGTCAGCCCTAAATTCACTTTTAAAGGCTACCTGTGACAGCTGTGGCTTTTGGCATCCTGGCTCCTTGACGGTGAAGGATCTGAGGGATGTTGGTAACATATTTTAGTCAAGGGCTTTCTACTGTTAACTCCAGAAGCCACGAAGACTAAAAGGCATGAACTTCTCTAAGATCATATGTAGGACTTACTACTTTCTAAAATTCGTTTCAGGACCAACTTTAGATAATCAGTGGCATAAAGTGAGACTCATGAGAACACTGAAAGAATGTATCTACAGTATCTCTCTTTCTCTGTCCTCTGCCTCACCAAAGAAAGATGATGTGTAATAGATGGATTCATTTAGGAGGGAAAGAGAAGCAAGGCATTTGGGGGTGTGACCTGCTCCAGATTTCTCTGGGGGCAACTGATTTGTTCTTGTCCTGAGAGTGGGGGACAAGGGCAGTGTCCCTGTGAACTCCATATGGCTGGCAACTGTAGCCAACATCAACAGTCAAATCAGCTCACCCAAACACTGATCCAAAATCATAGTCTTTCAGATGTGCAAGAGACTTGATCCAATCAGACAACTAATTGCTAAATTTACTTTAAAATATTCACACGAGGACAGGCCAAATAGCTCAGTGGATTAAAGCACCTGCAAGCAGGTGCAGGGGCTGGGGGTTTGATCCCTGGGCCTGCCGTGCCAGCCCCCACATCCCCCGGGGTGTGCTGAAATGGAAATTGAGACTGGGCATGGTGGTGCGTATCTGTAATCCCAGCTTTAAATAGGTGGATCACTGTGAGTCTGATCTAGTAGTGAGACCCTGAACACTCTGTAGACCTCCCCCCCCCAAAAAAAAATATATATATATATGTATTCCGAGTAGTGTGAGATTTATCACTTGTTCTTCAATAATTCCAATTGTTACCTATTGAATTTCTCATCCATTCTTTTGTTCAACAAATGCACACTTGGATTTTGAAGAGTTCCTATTTTTTTTAAGAGTTCCTATTATAAATAAATTGATCTTTGTATAATAAGTTAAGGTCATTTTAAATTTAAGATTTTGATTTAAAAAGCTGTATCCTATTCACAATTTACAGGTAATATATAACATAAATGCAACTTATTAAGCATAATAAGAAATAGTTGCATTTATTTAGTAGTCCCTTAAATACTCTGAGGTTCTTATGATTATAATCATTAATCTGAATTTCATATTTATCATTTCTTTTATTTAAAATTTTTATCATACTTCAAGTAATCTTTTCCTCTTGCCATTTTAACACTAACCTGACATTTTTTTCAAGAATTAGCCATATTCTTAGGTATAGCTGTAATTAATTTCACTACTGTATAATT